TTTTATGCAATTATCGACGAATTTCTGGATCCTTTTCCGAAGGAATTGTTGATAACGGTTCATGCCTAATATCATCCTTCGCAGATCTTCCGAGGAGCGATGTCTTCGTCTGGGGTTCGCATCAAGGAAGAGCAAGTGGGGACGAAGAAAAGGCGAGGCGCTGGAGGTGACACGGATTGTGTGATGGTGACGCGGTGTCACCAGACGAGTAACTCGAAAGTATTTGATATGCAAATGTGTGTTATTCTCCGAGATTAGTAATAATCGATTTGAAACTATATCGCACATACAATATAACCATAACTATGAACATGTGTTTAGGCTTGTGCTAGCGACAACTTGTTCACTATAATAACGCATATCAAATTGACACATACTGTATAAGACATTTTCCCTACTTTTGTCTTGGTCGTTTCCCCAGGTGCATCGTTGCTGGCCAGTGTGCTTTCATCATAGCGTGGAGATCGATCTAAGATGGGAGAAATACCATCGCGGGTTCCCTCTCGAGGGAGGTGGGGTCGGAAGCAATGCCTACCAATTCTTCGTCACTTACGGATGGTCTTCTGTAGCGAACGGGGAGGCTTTGTTGTGTTGAGTGGTTGTGATTAATTTCGTGGCGCGTGACGGTGGTTCGGTAAATAATTTCGTGGCGCGTGACGGTGGTTCGGTAAATAATTTCGTGGCGCGTGACGGTGGTTCGGTAAATAATTTCGTGGCGCGTGACGGTGTCTAGCTAACTGATATTTCTCCTCAATTGTCCATCCCTATCGGAGCTGATGCCAGCTGTATCGATACAGCTTGGGAGTCCGTCATCAAAGGGGGATGTTCGATCAGCTGCGGTCCGCCACTCTACTGTTGAAGTTTCTGCGAAAGTGGTAACGGGTGGGAGGCAGTTTAGGGTGCTGCTGGTTAAAGGCATGCACATTTGGATGATATTCTTCAATGCGTCTACGTATTATCTTTTGTATTACTATTTTATTCGAGTTGGAGTTTTCTTTAAGATATATTTTCCCGTGTGAGTGACTGCGCACAGCGAAGGTTTTTCGTTAATCAGGTTTCGAACCCGCTGCTGAATCGTCTTTGGAGTATGCTGACTGAGCATAACGGACAGCTCGCTGATATATGGATATATTGTGTAGACTATGTGGGCTCGCGGTCAAGCGTGCTGCCAGCTCATAGGTAATCGGAAGGTCCTTGGTTCGATCCTCGCATGTGTCATTTTAGGTGTATTCTAGCCGCTGGTTGTCCTAACCTTATGAGGAAGATAAATCCTCGACGGACTAGTAGTTGCGCTACTGCGGATACGAGCTGTGAAAAAATGGAAAAAAAAGGAAAAAAAATTGAAGAATCTATAGAAGTGCGGCGCCTCGATTTTACGGATGTTGCTCCGACTTGGGCCGTATCTTGCTTGCTGAGGTGGAAGTGTAGCGGAGCTGGCTGATTACCAACCTGGTTGTTAACACAAGAACCGGGCATTTCTGCAGACAGATCGCTAAGTTATCCTTGGGATAGAAGGGTTGAAGAATCAATGAGGGAAGAGGGAGAAGAACCCAACTACGATCTTGAGCCAAGATGGCTACGGTCGTCTTACGATCACTAGTGTCCCAAAGGCTTGTGCTTACTAAGCCAACCTATGTCTAAGGGACGACTAATGGGATCGACAAGGACGAAAGTAGCGAGTGTAACAAAGCAATATGATCATAGAACTGCAAAAGAGAACGAATTCGACGCCTAGCCGTTTCAGCCGTTTCAACAAGACGACATGAAACTGCCTAGCGGAGCGAAGCGATCGCTACACTGCCGCCGCCGCTAGACGGAGTTGACGAAGCATATTACGAGTAGGAGGTACTCTATACTTGAGGCAGACGATATCGCGTAGGGTCATTCTTGGAATATCCATCGTCTCACTACTCAGAACTGCAGGTTCGTCAACTAATCGGTCAGCTTCAATCATACGGTTAGTAGGGTCAACAAAAGGGATAATAGTAACAGCATTCTCGTCGCAGTTAACGATGTAACCTGCAATTGAGGTGTAGGGGAAGTAGCGATGACCGGGATCCACAAATACCCTTATCGAACCAATCTCAAAGATCCTGTCATCATCGGGTTGTTGATCTAATTGGGAGGTATGCTCCTCTATATCACCAGTAGGAGCATTTGCAGGACTTGTAGTAGTCTG